TTTTTATTTTAAAAAAATCAAATTAAATTAATAATTGAATTAAAATTTTAATAATTCGAGTTATTTCAGAATATTTCAAAATATTTTAATAAATTTTTACTTATGTTTTGTAAAATTTTAAAAATATTTTTTTAAATATTTTTTTCATTTTTATTATATTTTTAAAATATTTTTATATCTTAAATGACCAAAATAATGTATAGAGTAATTAATTTAAAACATTGTAATTTTATTAATCCATAGTGTTTAATTACAAAAATAATATAATAAAGCAAAATAAAAAAATTTATACGTGAATTGTTTTTTATTAGATAAACAATAAAAATACACCAAAAAATTAGTTTTCAATATCACAATTGGGGATATGGCTATGATACCAAAAGAAGAATATTTTCTACCATACCAAAATTAAGTTGTAGTGGTAGAGTTTAATTTGATTAATTAATTATTATAAAAATAATAAACTAATATGTGTATCTTATTAATAAAAAATTTCAATTACTAGCACTGTCCTTCTCAATTAAATTTGTAATACAGAAGTTCAGCCTATTATTTTACAAAGATCTTCATTTCAACAAAATCAAATTAAAAATCATTTTATTCTACAACAAATCATACGTGTTATTGAAAAATAAATATTTTTTGTCGTATTGAAGTTAGATTAATTGTATTTGACATTAACCCACTTAATTATGAAAAATATTTTTAGTTTTACCTAATTTCAATAATAGTGTCCAATGCTCTTCACAACGTAGATAAATAATTTCTCACCAAAATTGTCATAATAAAAAGACAATATAACATAATTATTTAACTCTCCACCCGACAATGTTTGATTACTCATGTCACCCTCTCTCTGTTGGATTTTATTGTGCTCTTTTTTGGATTTCTTCATTGGAGTTTTCTCTTTTGTTATGTATGCATTACTTTGAAATTTATAATAATTAATTCTTAATTATAATTTGGATCTATGAATTTATAAACAAAACTTTAAAAAGATATGCATGCATATAATCCACCGTCTTAAATTGATATCTTTTTGCATTGGTTATGAATGAATTGACCGCCAATGTCTATGGTAGAGAATGTTCAATAATTAGAAAATAACACACTAATTAGGAAAAAGTTAATGTCTCAACCGTAAAATAAGTTTAGTTTTACTGAACTACTATAACTATAAAAATTTGAATTTAAACATTAATCGATAAAATTAGAATTTTTACTTACTGGACTAATCGCTCGATGATTACGGACGGTAATCTCTTCATGAAAATATATAATAGACGCTTAATAGTGGAGCTGCTTATCAGTTTGAAGACGCGTGGAGTTGCAGGCGAGTGGGTACAAGCGAAATATGACCCCAGCCAGTATGGGGGCTTGATGTGTTGTTTGACGCTGAACCGTTGGATCATTTTTGGGACACCATTTGGTCGGTCCACTTTTCTTTTCATGTCCTGCTCTGACTTACTGAGTTCTGAACGCCGACACTGCCTCGCCACTGAGTTGGATGGATCGCATGTGTCTTGCTTGCGACCCTGTGTGAAGCCTGGTCAGGCACTTGGAGTAATATTCGAATTTATGACGTTAAAGTTTAATAATCAGTCTACTGTTAGCTTTAAACTTTCGTATGAATCTTACTTTGGAACGACGACGAGAATTAAATTTATAATCTTAATGCGATCTATGTCTATTCCAATGAATCCTATTTGGATTGCATTTTTTAATATTTTTTTTGTATAACATATCATTTATTATTAATAATAAATAAGAAATTTACTTGTAAACTTCAAAGATAGTTTAAAAAAATGGTATTTTAGACGACCTATAAATTTAGGTATTTTTGATTTGAATATTAATAATTCTTTAAAATCAAACTATGTGAAAAATCTATTCAAATAACTTATTTTTAATTAGACCAGATCGTTGATAAAATTGACACCCAGAGTAAGAGAGAGTGAGAGACCCAACATGGAGAGGTTGGAACAAAATCGTTGCAGAACAGAAAAAGATAAACAAAGAGGTGAGGGGACAGAAAGTCATTTTAAAGAGGTATATATACCATAAAAGAATATAGAATTATTAAGATTATTTTATTGTAATTAAATTAGAAAAACTACACGTAAATATTATTATTATTATTATTATTAATTATGGACTAAAAATCAGGTAAAACCAAGATTACTTCAAATCTAAGTATGATTCAGCTGTTGAAATATATAGCCACACGTCGTGAAAAGCATAGAAAAAAAAAAAAAAAGGACTAAAAAAAGTAGTCATTGAGATTGAGACCACTGCAGAATCTCAAAAGCTGCTAAAACTTGATTCTCTGCTCAACAGTAGCCGTCAATTTCTGTTAAAAAGACTTCACAACCTTTGCCTCGTTTCTCACAAATAGCTCCCTAAAAGGATTGAGATTTTCACCCAATTTTATTTAATAATAAAATTATATACCCCGTATGTTTTTATGCAAGACCTATTATTTACATTTGTGTCTTTCATCTCTACATAATTAATGGTATACCATTAAATAAAGAGTTAATTATTTTTTATTTTCATGTGATTTTGGCTAGAAATATTTTATTTATTTAACGTTTAAAATTATACACATTATCCTATTATAGTTATGTATCAAAATAAAATAATTTATTTTATCATTCAAGTTAATGAAAAATGTGTTCTACACGTTCAAAATATGTTATGAACTTTGTTTTCATTGTTTTCTTTCAAAAAAATATTGTTTAAGTGTCTAAAATATTTTTTATAATATATGGTATAATACCCAAATAGGTAGAGTATCGATCACAAATAAAAAAAATATGTAAAAAAAATATAAATAATTTTTAGCCCCTGATGAGAGAGAAAAAAGAGACTCGACGTATTTAATTGAAATATATTGATTTGTTGTTATTTTTAAAACGTGAGTATTATAATAATTTTTTAATTTTGTTAATAGTGTCAATTATTTTATTTTGTTATGAATTCTGTGAGAACCACTAATCTAATGAGATATATTAGTGTGTGCTATATTGTAACAAATAAAACCAACCATACGAAAATGATTAGCATGTCAAGAATCAAAATTAGTGATGGTGAAATCATAATTTTTGATGTGACACGCTAATATTAGATGAATTTTGATGGAATGGTTTACACAATTGAGTAGGATCGTACTATCTAAAAATTTGGGTAAAGTGTGGACTAGATCACTTTTTTAAAACGATTCGTGCCCTTTTATAGAATAACCATAATACAGAAGGTGACATCAGGTCATACCTAAGATACAACAACCTACCCTAACTGACTATTGCTTCACTTAAATCTACACAATTGAAATGAAACATAATCTTCACACGATACTTTTGCTATATTGCTTAGAAAATAATTCAATAGGAAATAATATAGAAGTGTGTCTTTCTATTATGAAATATATAAATATATATACAGAAAAATATGACTATTGATATCCTGTAATTATTTACATATTTAATCAGATAATAAGTTTTAGAATTTAATTAAAAAAAAAGACAGTTGGAAAAACATTCTTTAGACCTTAAATATTCATAAACTAAATTTTTAATAAAAAATAATAAAAAGTGGGTTTGACATTATATATTATTTTATTGCTCGCATCTTCTCCCCCATTTTTGTGCAGGTGAAAGTCTTAATGTCTCATTTAATTTAATGGTTATATAACACTAACATATATATACTCAAATACTTTAATTCTTTGTTTAGCAGGCACGATAGAAAGTAAGAGAGATAAAAAAATAGGAATGATAATTTTTTTTTTTTTGTGTTTGATATGATGGATGTAAAGTATAAATGGTTATTATTATGTGTTTCGTATTAATGAAAAAATAGAATGATGAAAAAATATATAAATAATATGTAATTGATAAATATGATATATAGACAAATAACATATATTTCAACATATATAATTAATTTTTCATCTACTTTCTTCCAAATTTTAGATGAATTTATTTTGATGAGAATGAATGAAAACTAATCCATCAATTTTTCATCATTCCTATTTTTCTTCATTACCAAACATAATATTTTACTTATCCCTCTAACTTTCTATCATTTTAACTTTCCATCGTTCTATTTTTTCATCGTACCAAACGGAAAGTTAGAAATTTAGTCGACGTGAGATTAAATTTCCAATATAAAATGCTCATTTTATTAAATTACTGTAACATAATATAAAATAAAGTTTGCATATTAAAAAAAAATATGAATGTAACATTGATACGATCATATTTCTAATTTCATTGTCACTCGTTTTCTCAAAAAAATATTAGATGTACTAGTGATATCATGTGACATTGATAATGTAATGTCACAAACTACTGAAACTAGTGATAGAATAACTCTAGAATATTGAAATAGTGAAGTTTAAAAAATTTTTACTTTTTATTTTATAATTAGTTGGTAATACCACATGACATGACAATGATGAAGCGTTGTCACCGTTACACCCATTATTTATTCCATCTTCTCACCATATTAGTATTCATTTTTTTTTGGGGGCAAATTACATTTTGTACCTTAAAAATTTAGGAATTCTTAATTTATATACTCAAATATTAGATTTTTTACATAATACTCACAATATATTATATTAAAAGTATTATAATGTGACACTTTCGTTAATTTTCGTTATTTATTTTGTCAAACATCAATAGAATGAATTTTGACAGAATAAATAACAAAAGATAAGAGAATGATTATATTATAATATTTTTAATACATTGAATTTGCTGCGTGATGAATTTCATCATTTAAGTTATAAAGTGAGACCAATTAAAAAAAAAAGTTATAAAATATGAAAGTTTAAATCTTTTGACATACTCAATGAGATTCTCTCTTGTTTTTTTTTTGGGTAGATTTAGCATTAGGCTTAATAACTGTTTTAATTGGTGGAATAAATAAAAAAAATGATGAGTTGTAACTTGAAATGTAATTTACACGCGCATCCGTAGTGGTTTCTGCTATTTCTATGCTCTTTCTGTATATTACACCTCCTGGTGTCTGCTAATGCATTGGTTTGGCCAACAGAAAAATGTTCTTTAAAGCAGTCTTTCACGCTTGGAAACAGGTACAGATTTGATCTTATCGTACTAACTTTGGGAGGGAAGCCTGTTGGAACTTGGAAACTACTCCTAAAACCCATTAAAGAGAGAGAAAGTACAGAACAGAGAGAGAGAGAGAGAGAGAGAGAGAGAGAGAGAGAGAGAGAGAGAGAGAGAGAAAACTTTTTGAAAGAGAGGAAATACAGTTGCTGGGCGTGGGAGGTAAGAGCTAGAGAGGGAAAATCTAGAGAGAGAGAGAGGGAGGATGTTTGCAGCTGAGAATGGACTCAAGGGAGACCCAAGGCTTCAAGCCATTTCTGAAGCCATAAGCGTCATCCCTCACTTCCCAAAACCAGGTTTTGGACTTCTCCTTCATTTTTCATTTCTCTCACTTGCTTTTGTGTATTTTTAACAAAATTATGAGTACATCTTCTCTTCTTTTTTGTTAGGGATAATGTTTCAAGATATAACAACTTTGCTACTAAATCACAAGGCATTCAAGGACACTGTGGACATCTTTGTGGAGAGGTACAGAGACATGGGGATCTCTGTTGTCGCTGGTAATCTCTCTCCCTCGCTCTCTCTCTCTCTCTCTCTTCTGGTTTTAGCCAACTTTCTTGGTTTTCCCACATGTAATTATGCATTCGTTGGGTTGTTATTTTAATATCATTCATTCAATGTATAAAATTTATGAGAAAACTTTCTTTATTTGGTTCTCTTATTTATTTTATTCTATATTTGCTGAACTTTATTGGGTAGTCTATTTTTTTTTTCTTGGTGTATGTTTTCACTGGATGGTGTAGATTAGATTTGGCAATAATGTGATACATTTAGTACAGCACAGGATTGTTAAGGTTTTTTTCATCTCAAATTTGTTTATGGATCCTCTTTTTTAGCACCTGCCGACAGTTTTTGTTAGGATTAGATTATCTCTGCTGTTAATGGTTTTATGGACTTATTTGACAAATGACAATCATGCAATCTGTTACTTTTGGGAATTTTGGTTTATCATTTTTGGGTTTTTGCATCATCTTTCTTTATTTAAGTTTGTTTTTGGGTTTAGGAATGGCGGATAAAGCAGTCTCTAAAATCCTGGAAAAATTCTCTTATATTTGCTAAATTACAGTGTTTGCTAAAGAACAATTTAATCTCTATTATACCACCATTTTGCTATCTTTAGTTATATTTGTTTCAAGCTATTTCTGGGTATTTGAGTAATGCCACTCATTTGCTAAGTTTAGTCTATGGCTACCATTATTTTATTTTATTTTTCTTCTTCTGGATTTGTTTTGAAACTGTGATTTTTTAAACTTAGTAGACTGCCATCTCAAAAAAAAAAAAAAAAAAAAAAGAAGAAAAGAAAAGAAAGTAGACTGCTTCCATGTTTTCTGCGTCCTCTACTGTTCTTTCGTCTCACAATTTTCCTGTATACAATTTGCGCCCATCCATTTTGCGTCGCACCCAAAATTGCTGTAAAAATGAATTGCTTATTAAGAATATTTTTAATATTATTTTTTCTTGTCTTTATAGGCATATTAAAATTGTTATGTCCTAATCGAGTTCATAGGAGGCCACCCAAGTTGTAGGCGAAGGGCTACCCTTTAAATTTTTTAAATGTCATATAAATTTGGCCATATATATGAAGGGAGTTTGGTTGTGCAGATATGAATTTTGTGCAGTGCAGCAGTGGGAGTTGTTGATGATCATATGAAATCCTGGGGTTGTAAGAGTATCAAAACAAACCGTTCTAGTTGCAGTTAATAACTTTGTTGGGTCTGGATACAATAGGACAACCTTGCTTCAATCAAGCTGAACTTAATACAAGCATAGCTTGGAGAAGTTGTGGTCCTGGCTTTGATGAACATTTACTGTAACTCCTCTGTTGGATGGCATCTATGACACATCAAAAACAAGAAACTTCAAAAAACTTTACACAACCTGTTAATTGCTGAATTAACTCCTTTAACATGTAGGCTGTAGTAATAAAGTTGATTCTCCAGATATTGTCCTGCATGGTTGAGGAGAGCAGGTTCGAGTGATAAGTGCGTTATAGTTATTTTTTTTATTATCTAGTATATAGCTGATTTTTCTTTTTCCTTTTTTTTCCGGCTCTTGTCATTTTCTGTCCTTCTGTTTTCTCTATCTTTCTGCTGCTGCATCATCTTTTTCCTAAGATATTCAGGCCTAATTTTACTACTTGCCCACCGTTGGTTCTTGTATTGTTTGTATACCGATATGTATATCAACATCTGACTTGAGTTGTATAGCACATGGTGAGCTAGAGACAAAAATGAAGGGCCATGGGAGTTGGTGTCTGAAGTGGACTCTATATGCATAATTGGAGAGTTCTTGCCCTCTAGGGGCTCTATGTTTAGCATGTAGTTTTCTTATTGATTTTGATGCTGTCGAGTCCAGAAATAAGATTTTTTAGTTCTATGATAGTGATCTCTGGGTCACAGAATAATTGATTATTTTTACTGCATTCTAATGTTTCTTAAGTTACGTGCAGGAATTGAAGCTAGAGGATTCATGTTTGGTCCATCTGTCGCCTTAGCCATTGGTGCAAAGTTTGTTCCATTACGTAAACCTGGAAAGCTGCCTGGTATGCCTAGGGAACTCACTTTCAAAGTAGGGTTATGCTTTGAAACTTCTTACTATTTTTTTTCGTCTTATTTTTCATTTGAAGAAGAACTGAGACACAATTAACTCCTAGATCTCTGTTGATGCATTCAGTCATGCGTGATCCTTTTACCTGGTTATGGATGCAAATACTTTGAGTCTGAGCAAATCCTTTTCTGAATGATTGTTGGGTAAAAGAAAAGCATAAAGAAACGCATAGCCATGGCAGATAGGCAATCAGTTATGTAACTGGAATAATTCTTTTCTTTATATTCAATCTCTGACGGTGTCCAGGCATTTGATGTTTCAGTTCCACTGTGGCACAAAAAGTTTCTGAACTTTGCACTGTATTTCAGTTTACCTGTTCAATTTGAAGTTCCACGCTCTTTTAATCCATTTTTTAAATAAAAATCATATCAACAAGAATAATGTCCAGGTGCTGCTTATTGAAGTGACTATAACCATAGTTAAATAGTTTCTTTGATCATTTACATTTTTTATGGCTGTGAAATAAAACATTATTGTGGTTAAGGGAAGTTGCTTGCACATTTATCTGTTGAAAAACCTACCCTATCGAACACAATTATCTTCTGCCATGCCATCGTCAACATCACGCTGCTGTGATGGTCAGTCCATGTAAACATTGTTGGTGTCATTTGCTTCCATAAAGAACAAACATGACGCAGTGACACTGATATGGAGATTGATATGAGACAATGTAGCAAAAGATGCAAGATGCTTTCATGTTGGCATACTATTTTTGAGGCCTCAATTTTCTGGTATCCAATTTAATTTGTCATATTGATTCGTTCAAGTAAGGTCAGTTTCGAGATATTTCTATGAAGATCCTTCTAGAAGCTCATGTTGTTTCCATACACAGCAATGCCCAGAGGTTTAGCTCATATTAAGACCACTAGAGGTCAAAGTTTTTTGTTGGAGTTAAGTGAAACTGAATTCAAAAAAGTAAAAAAAAGAGCAAGATTTGAGCAGAGAAAACATAATTGGAAAGTACTGGTAAAGGCGTTGCACTTTTAGTAGTATCAATACTATTAAAGATAAATGTATGTAGTACTAGAAAAAACAAAATATGTGTTGACTTTGTAATATAGTTACTTATATATAGTCTATGAAACATGTACACTCTAAAGAAGACTTCGTATCTGTGTTGGACCCTTCTTGGACACCGACACTTGTTGAACACTCTTATCAACGTGTCCGATACTTTTTTATCCGTGTTTATAATTAAATGATAAAATTTAATTTCGGACATGTGTTCACTTCTTTGGCAGCTTGCCCGGCACTTCTTAGGTAGGACACTTCTTTTGGCAGCCTGCTTGACACTTTTTTGGACCGCTATTAAACAATAAACATGGGTTACTTGTTTGTGTCGTATCCGTGTCCGTGTTTCTTACTATTTAGTAGTAATTATTTTCTTTTATAAAAAAAATTTGGCAGATTAAAGTCTCTTTTCCTCTCCTTGTCTCCCAACCTCACAATCACAGGCAAACTATGATGTGTGAGCATCTGAACATGCACAAAGAAATACATATCTTTGCTCCGGAATCTGTCCATTCTCAGCCTCTGGAATTACGTTTTGGAAAACAGAGCTTCTTACTATTTATTTCCCTTGCATTTCGTGAAGATATATGCTTCTCTATTATCTTTGTTCTAAATTTTATCCTGGATCTTTAAAAATGCTGAATTTGCAGCTAAAGTAGTATCACAAGCTTATGAGCTAGAGTATGGTACTGATTGTCTCGAGATGCATATTGATGCTATTCAGCATGGGGAACGGGCAGTGGTAATTGATGATTTAGTTGCTACAGGAGGGACCCTCTCCGCAGCAATGAAACTTTTAGGTAGTTGATGCCCTTTCTTGGGTTGTCATATATCATCTTCAGTGTGGTTCTTTTCTGGTTTTTCCTGGAAAGTTCTCTGTTATTTCACTGTCGTTAAGCTAAAAACAATTCGCATACTGTTTTTCCAGAATGTAGGGGGGCCGAAGTTGTTGAATGTGCTTGTGTTATTGGGTTGCCTGATGTCAAGGTAATGCTCAAACTATTGTAATCTGTGCTTGTATCGTCTTTTATTTTTTTGTTCTTTAGAACCTTACTGACAATTATTATTGGTATTTTCCTTACTATTTTATAAGTGCTAATTGTCATTGTACTCCAATTCTCTTTGCTGCACAGTTATTGGTTATCATAGTTAAACTCCAAATTAACTAATTGCCAATGCCAATGTCCCGTTTTCAACTATGCCAGTAATCAAAATCCAACTTCTGGAATGGCTCCCAACCTCTATTTTGTATAGGCTTCTAAAGGGATTAGTCACTCGCATAGTGCCAGCTTAATGGCACAAATGTCCCAAATCAAGCAAATGACCTAAAGGAAACTTTGCCGTCCTACATAGTTACAGCTGATTGATCACTATCCAATCTCTTAAATATTCTTCTGAGAGACCCCACACACATTTTTCCTGCCCATCAGTTTGAGGATGGTTAGTCATAGAGAAGTTCACCGAAGTTTGTGAACCTGTAAGACTCAAGCTATAGATTCTGTTTGTTAGAATAGGGCTGAATGCAGTAAAAACCCAAATGCCCAATTCTTAGACTCGAAAACTGAATTCAACGATGAAATCCTTGCCCAAAAATGGACAAGTACCTCCATCAATATAGTGCTTCTGTCTAGAAATCAGTGAAACTGTCCCTTACAATGAAGACAATCATAAATGAGAAGCAATCACCAAAGAGAACTATTAATACATATGTTTCAAGGGTGGAGTGGAATCAATGGGGATGATCTCTTTTGGAGAGTTTCTCCATGTCTTCTAACTTTTTGCTATTTTGCTGCCGATAATGTCACCTATTGATCTTCAGATATTTCTGAGGACTAGGATTTTTTTTTGTTTGGAAAACTCTTGAATGGGCGTACCTATGTCTAATAAAGCTTATCTCCTTCACTGTTAATCAGAAATGTGAACAATCTAAGGTGTGACCCCTCTCGCATCCACTTCTTTTCAGATACACTTGTTTATAAATATTTTTGTTAAAGTTTCATCTTCTTTTCAATGTTGGATTTTCTTTACTTCTGTGTGTACGTGTGTGTGTGTGAGTGGGTGATGAGGAAAAGATGGGGTGTTTCTTGAGCCACTAGAGAATGTATGGACTAATTTCATGCTGTCCTAAGGATATCGTTTGGAAATTTCCACTAGATAACCATGCTAAAGAATAATCTACTTTCAGTTCTTTTAGGATGTAATCTGTGCGGCTACTACATTGTAACTCTTTCCTTGTATGACTTGTTTCGATCATTTCTTACTTTCAGCGGCAGCCAAGACTTAATGGAAAGCCACTTTATATTCTTGTGGAGCCACGGGAAATGGAACATAGCTGCTCAGGTACAATGTCATTGTTCTCCTGGATCTAAATGAACAAAGTACAGCTTTTGGAAGATTTAATTACAAAAAAAAAAAAATTTGGTAAACTTTACTTCAGTACTTCTAGAGGCACACGAGTTATGTGAGTACATTCTTGACTGAAATGTACATTCTTCTGTTTACTTCATTTCCCCTCCATTCGTCTAGAATGTGTCATCGTGTTCTCTCTTATACTTCTTGAAGGAAACAATCCGAGGCACCAAATTTTGTTCATTTTGGGCTGCAAATCCATATTATAAATTCTACCATGTCCAACAATCAAAATTTTGTTTTTGTTTCGGCCAGCTCAAAAACGTAAACGTTTCGGATACATTTCAGAAATGGAATAGAAACTTAAAGAATTTGAAATTTTGTCTCCGAAACATTGGTGAAAATATATCAAAACATTGAAACTCCGATATTCTTACTGATTCATTTTGGTTTCTATGGAAACGAAAACATTTTGGTCTTTTCAGTGGGGAAAGAATCCAAAATTTTGATCCTTGACCATGCCTCATAAAGATCACATTCAATTTCACCATGTTCTTCAGTTGCATTACCTTGCGGTCACATATTCGCATTATGGTTGCCTGATACACATGATAAATGTCATCTTTTCCGTAGTGTAACATGGACAAAAACATCATTAGACCCATCAAATTCTAGAAAAGCAAGATGACTCCTGTGTTTAGAAATATATGTAGCACATTTGTGGCCCATCTGATGCTTCTCATTCATACTGGTCCTGTTTGCAGCTATTATCTCTGCTAAGTGAAAGAATTCTGGATCCTTGTGATTGGGGTACTCCGGAGCCTGCATCTTGAATTAAGCAAGAGTTTCTAGCATACAACTCTATTGGTTTGGGGGCGCATTAAATTGTCATATAACAACAGACCTTTGCATTTGTTAGTTTTAAAAAGGATAGGATTCAAATAGGAACCGAGAGAGTCCTGACTTGATTACCATAACAGGAAAGATTGAAAGTGGAATATGCATTTGCTGATTCAACCAACATGACTTGATGTTGGATTTTTCTCTGCATCCTTATCTTTTAGTCACTGTTCTCCGCTAGTTTTGATGTGATTTTGATCAAGACATGGAACTAATGGAACTATGGATGATCTTATATCTCTAGCTGTCATCACAGACCTTCTATCATTAGCACCAGTGAAACTCATGAATCTTATGTTTTTATTGTGATGCAACATTTCTTTGCTATCTGCCTGCAAAGTGACTAAATATTAGCATATGCATTTAGGGGGAAATGTTTTTGGAGAGGGGCTGGAACCCTTCATAACTTTCGAGCGAATAATGTGTTGGATTTTTCAAACTTTGGAACGATCTTTAGGGAGGCCATCACCTCTCCCCTCCCCTTTAAATTTTGGGACTGCATTTTTTTTAACCCTTTGTTTTCTGTGTACATGCAGATCTGCGGGTGTGCTTGGGGTGAATTCGGACTGGAAGAGATGATGCTTGGGCAGCCATTCGAACACAAGCTACAGTTTTGAATAGCTGGTGTTTTGCCTTTGTAACCTCCCTCTTTTCTTTCGTTTTGGTTTTTATTTCCTCCTTTGTCTTCCTAATGTACCCTTCTAGGTGCAGCTAATTCAATTTGAGTTGAATTAATTGGACAATTTGAGAAAAGCATTGTTGAATTCATGTTTTGTAAGCTACTCAGTTGAGCATTATTCAGAGGCTTACGGCTAGCTTTCCTGTTATAGTTTTGAATAGCTGGTGTTTTGCCTTGTAACCTCCCTCTTTTCTTTCGTTTTGGTTTTTATTTCCTCCTTTGTCTTCCTAATGTACCCTTCTAGGTGCAGCTAATTCAATTTGAGTTGAATTAATTGGACAATTTGAGAAAAGCATTGTTGAATTCATGTTTTGTAAGCTACTCAGTTGAGCATTATTCAGAGGCTTACGGCTAGCTTTCCTGTTATGGTTTTGGTTGGCTCCTTGCAATTTCCAGTATATTGAATGTTTTTCAGGCTTGACACTGCTAAAACTGCTAAACTAATACACGGGTTGTTCTTCTTCCTTAGTTTGCTCTTCTGGGTTAACCATTAACAAAGGGAAAAAAAAAATGCGAACCAAAAAACCATTCTAAGTTGGAATTTGAGAACAATCATTTTATGTAAATAATGTTAAAGAGTAGACCATTAACAGGGATTTAATTGGTAATGACTCGTTCTGAAAAAGTTAGACAATACTTGAACATATAATGATTCCATTCAACACTTTACCTTGGCAGACAGCAGACGAAAAGTTTCAATCTTCTTAGCAGTTTCCATAACTGGTTTAGAGACCCCTCTAGGCTTTAACGTAGAAAAAACCCATTCTCTAAGAGGCTATCCTTTGTGCTTTACTGTGGTTTACCCATATGCATCAACGGCAAGGGTTACAAAGTGGCCAAACCAACCCAAGTACATTGCAAATAAATAGGGTTGGAGCAGAAGATCTCATAGAGTGTGCTCTTAAACCTCAAAGCCATAAGTAACACATCTATCGATCACGACAGATGTATTTTCTACCCATAAAGTTTACTAACCTTAAACCATAGAATTTTTATCAATTTATGAACAAAAATTCAATATTATTGTCGTGGTTCTCATTGTTTTCTACATACTACATGCTATTCACGTCCATTGCGCAAGAAAAATACAATTCTGTGGAAACTAAGATTTCTGAATACTTGCATACATATAGGGCAACATAATTACAAGGGCAAACATCGTGTTGGACAATTAACTCTTTGAAACAAAATTACTTGATTACCTAGAGAGCGTAATTGTGACGAGGGGTGCCACATATACTGCATATGGAAAAAAGTAACAATATTCACCCCGGTTTTTTATCTATCTGAAAACTTATTTTGTATAATTGGTATTGAAGGAGCGGCCGCATCATCTTTCTCAGAAGAAATGTCTATTTTGAGAGCATAACGGATAATAGTATTCACCTGTTTTCTCAATCTAGCATTATCAGTGAAGATCTCTGTCAGCAACTTCCTCAACCAATCATCTATTGTTCTCATTTCATCATCAATGTCATTATCTATATCAGTAGTAGTTACGTTGCTGCCATTAATTTGAGCTAAGAGCTGCGCCTGATAAAGTTTTGGCAGAACACAAATAAACCACTTATAGTGAGAAGACGCAAAGAAAAACTGGGACCAGAATATGCATGGGGCAAAATGGCATACATAACATAATGCTATAATTAACACACAAACGGTTCAACTATACTCATTATTTTCCGTAACGAGTCACAGCAGCTACAATGTATATAAGATTAGAACGTAAAGCAGCTGAAAACATCTAACTAGCATCGCACAGTGAATTACAAAATAACCTAACCTAGGTAAAAATGTGCTCTGACCGACCCATGGCATAATGGCAGCAAATCATTAAAGATGAAAACGATCACCAACTCCTACCATATGCTCTCGCCACAAAAATTAACCAGCTCTTTATTAACAGGAAAAAAGCGTCTTGCAAGACTATCCTTAATCAGTCTCATTTGTTACATATTCCATATTCTCCATCGGTCATTCTAATTTTCT